CACACACACACACACACACACACACACACACACACACCCGTGCGCGTGACAAACACGGACTTTAAATGTGGTTTTAAAACATCCACATTGGCGAGGTGGATGCAGCCTGTGCGTGTATCCAAAGCGTGACTTTTGCTGTCCTGCTGTTCTTGTTGGGGAGGGGTCTGTGGGTCAGGGAGGGGTCTGTGGGTCAGGGAGGGGTCTGTGGGTCAATCAATATTACTGTTAAGAAAGCTGATGATAAAGATGAATAAAAATCTAAGTCTGATTCTGAAGGTAAATTATCTGACAGTGATCATTACACAGTGTGGCTCTAATTCCTCACTTCACCATCTGTGTCGCAGTTTCCCGTCTCCAAAATGAGCGTACGCATGGGTCAGAGCTGGCGTGAGGCTCTGCACATTTTCACGTCAAGTTTGGATTTTATAAATCACAACCTTGGCGTAAAAAGTGGCGTACGCAAGTTTCTGGGCTCAAATTGTGCGTACGCCATTTTTATAAATCCGACCCCTGGACTGTTAAACCATGCCTGGTGACAAACACAAATCCCCACATGCCATTCCCAATTTAACTCTACAGTTAATGGTTGAGTTTCAGAATCAGAACATGAAGTAAATTTTAGGATGATATGACRCAAGAAAACCAGGAAGGGTGCAACCTGAGTTATCATATTTATTTATTGTCTTCATTAATAATCAAATACTTTACCTCGGAGCGAAACTTCCTCAAAACAGCCAGAGACTCAAAGTAGAGGAAGTCTGACCACTCAATGTGACCCTTCTTCTCAGGATCCAAAGAAGCAAATTGGGCCAAGACCTCCTCCTCCTGCTCATCACTCAGGTCCTTATCAAACTGCTGCTTGGATACAAAGTGGCGGTACTGCAGCAGCTCGTCCGACACCAGGCACGACTCTGCGACGGCAAGGGACAATTCATCACATCAGATCAGATCAGGCACTGTGTAAGCTTCTATAATTAGCTCAAGGTGGTTCATCTTTAACAGAAGCAAGACCACCCCCCTCCCCCCCACTGCTTTTCTGCCATAAAATATTTGTTTGAACCAACAAGACTGAAACAGGACATTCAGGTCAGGAAGACCAGGCAATTTATCGCTGTAACCAAACGTAGGTTCAAAGCGATGCTAGCTGACTCACCTGGGATGATTTTGCACTGTTTGAATGTCTCCATTAGACTGTACATCTCTTCCTCTGTTAGGAGAAGATTCACATTGTCCTGCAGGGCAGAGGGAGATGAGATGAACGAGTTATAGTTGAAAAAAGTGACACTTTTTAAAAAGATTGTCTCACAACTGAAAATGTGTCTATTCATCGGTCAGCTGCAGCTGCATGGTCACAAAAAAATTGGTATTTCTTTAATTTTGATATTCATTTTAATTGGATCACTTTTATGCATTTAAATATGAAGCATCAATTTTCTTCACAGCACTTTAAGAAGTGTCTGCAACTGCTGTCAACTAGTTGTAAACAGCAGGGGTGCAACAATAAAAAAAACTCATGACTCGGTTTGATACTTTAGTCTCATGGTTCTTTTTTATGCAAAAAAGGGAAATTTCCATGCCCTTCTTAACTTGTAATTTAATTAAATTAATTCTGAACATTTGTTTAACCCCAAAAGTACAGTTTTTAAATGAATGAAGTTTCTCAGTGGATCTGATCTCGACAACGCAGCCTAGGCGGAGTAGTCGAACACAGATCCACTGAGCCTTCAACATGGCGCATCTTCAGAAGTTGATAAATTAAATTTTAAAAATCTGTATTGCTCGATACAAGTGTGTATTGAACCTAGAGCAATGTACTGAATGGTTACAGTTTTATCAGTTGTAATAGTTTTACCACAAAAGAACTGCATTCAGACCACTTGTCAAATCTTGTCAAATACAGACACAAATTGATTTCCAGTTTATAAATTAGGGTAAAAAAATTGTATGTCTAAAGGATTGTTTCCATTTTTATGACTATCCTTTAAAGCTACAGTATGTCTGATGTAAAAGTTTGTGTAGCAATTTTAATCTTCCCCCATCTTCTTCGGAACACAAATAAGGCAAAGAATGTGACAAGAGGCACTGGTTTTCATATCATATTTATGCATTATTTATCAGAAAAGTGGCGCAATAAAACTTCACCAAGGACAAAAGAAACAACAAAAAAAAACCATTTCCTGTTGTTTTTATTATCCTCTGCCTCTACATTTGGACACTAAAATGGGAACACACAACCACTCACTCTTAAAAAACAGAGAAATACCTTAAAGCTAGGCAATTTAGTGTATGTTTCAGTTTTTCTTTCAATCCAGTGTAAAATAAATAGCATGTTCTTCCCAAGTCTGATCTGTTTAATGACACCACAGTGTGGTAAGACAATGAAACTCAAATTAACCAAATTGTGAAGTGTAACAAACCTAATGTTCCCTCTTTGGTACCCTAAGGAGGGACACATGGTCTCATTATATCAGCCAGCAGGAGCTGAATGTGTGCACCAACACATTGCTTCATGGTTTGCTGCTTTTTTAACCTGTCACCAAGACCACAGTAACTGCCAACACCTTGTCATCCCACTGTCCACCTGCATTTACAGACTCAGTGTAACCGCTGAGGGTAATATTTTGTTTGGTTACAGTTCTCTAAATGGTAACCAATCCTTCTCATTTTGCACTTTTTGAAGCAGATATTAAAAAGGGGAATTTCATATCTATGGGGAAACACTTAATCTCGTACTGCTTTTCTCACTTCCCCATTAACTCATAAAACGACTAACCAACACGTTCCATATCAGGCCCCTGAGGCTGTTCCAAAGTCAATGAAATCATCAAATGAAACACTAAATCTGGATAAGTGTGTCTGTCTGTGACACACACACACACACACACGGATATTAAGTATCTGAGCTGAGAAAACTCAATAAAGATGGACCGTAGACTAGAGACCAAATGGTGTTAACCAGTAAAGATGTTCTTTTTTTCTTCTACATTGTTTTGGGCTTGTACTCCAACAATTTGATGCAGTTTTTTTATCGTAAAAAAGCTGTTCAAAAAGCCAAACCGGAACAGATTTTCAAAAGGAGAAGCCAGCTGAGGAATGAGCAGTAATATTAACTGTGACAGAGTCTTCTGGCCTTTTGTGTCTAACAGAGCAACATTTTTCATCAGCGACTGTATTATTCCCACTCCTCAAACACGACATCAGTTATCCAGCCTGAAATGCTGCAGACGAGCCTGAGCCACCAGTTCACACCCTAAGCTTCATTTGAGTTCATTTAAACGTGCTCGTGTTAAATCAAATGTGTTATCTTTAAAGCACTGCAGGTTGATTTCTGTCACCTACTGTAATGAAAACTATCTTTCTTCTAGGAGCGAGGATAGTTATTAACTAACAACACTACAGGTGCTGGTCATAAAAATAGAAAATCATGAAAAAGTAGATTTATTTCAGTAATTYCATTTAAAAAGTGAAACTTGTATATTATATTCATACATTACATACAAACTCATATATTTCA